GAGCAGCGGCCGGGGGGTTGCTTCTGCGAGCAAGGCGGCCGAGGGGCTGCTCGAGGGGGCTGGGAGCGCGCAGCTGGGCGAGCCCCCTGCATATCGCAGGCATGTGCCTTGCCTGGCTCGGCGCCCACTGCCGCCGGGCTGTCAGGCTAGCGCGTCCCCTTCGCTGCGTACAGCGCCCTCTGCGGAGACAAGCCCCACGCCTGCCCAAAGCCCTGCAGTGGGGCCGGGAACTGCCATGGCCTCCCCCCGCTCCGGTGGCCTGCCATGATCGACTGGGGAGAAGTCCGGGAAACGCTCCCTCCCCTCCGAGACCCAGTTTCTAAACGGGCTCTAGCGCCCGGGAGAGTGTTTTGCCCTGGCTACTCCGCTGTAGTTTTCCCGGTGGTTTGCATTACCCGTCTGTAGCAAATGCACAGCCACTTAAATCCGGGCTGCAGGCAAACTGCCGCCATGTGGACATTGAGGTCAGCCAGCACAGTCCAATTGCAGGATAGGGTTGAAGGTGTGAGCTACACTTAAAAGGTGGCTATAACTAGAGGGCCCAGGGGTGTCAAAAATTCACCCCACAGCTATGGAAACTTCACCTCCCAGAGTAGAGGTAAGCAGGTTGATGGAAAAATCTGGAGGTTAACTAAGCAATGGAAAAATCCCTTGGTTACTGGTGTAGAAAGCATCCACACTAGCAATACAGGTGTGTAACTGCAGGGCTGGGCAGCTATAAGTCCCCCTAACAAAGGAACACTCGATAATTAAGTCAACTACAACACCCAGCAGAAAGTGTAGGAAAAATCCACAAGCCCCACTATAGACAGTGCTAAATAGACATAATTTTTTCATGAACCTACCTACAACCTTTCTGGGAGGTGGCTTACCTATAAAGAAACTGCCCCTCTTGGCATAGGCAGCACCCATGTTGAAGTGCTACAGCAGTGCATTGTGCTGCTAGTAGCATTTCAAGTATAAACAAGGTCTAAGACTTCACAGTAGCACATTCTGCTGCAGCAACAGAGATAAAACTCAGAATTACGTAGTCCACAGTACACTTCAGGGAAATCTCCCTTTATAATTAGCAACATAGGTCCCAGCCAGTGCTACACAGCTGAGGAGAATTCTGGTTCCATCTAATAACAGCCAGGACACAGCAATACAAGCCACTCACTATAGTATATCACAACCCACTATATACTCCAGCCATAAAGAGTGCTGTATCTCACAATCTTATTCATGTGGATTGCAGTAATGCCCATAAAGTGCTAGGCACTTTCCAAAAATACCTCAGGTGTAGTCACATTTTTAAGAGGTTAGAATCTGAAAGAAAAGGGGAAAAAAGTGATAAAACACACAATCCAAGGATTCAGAGTGATGGCTAGCTCAAAGATTAGTACAGATATATTAACTACATGATTAGTCGATAAGGGAAGGCTCTCAGTCCTGATTGGACCGGTTTGGGAGCTTCCTCCGCTGTGGCTCTGCATTTTAAATGTAGTAAGAGCCAGGTTGGCTCTTTTTCCTCTTTTCCTCTTTGCTATTTGTCAGAAACATTCAGCAAACCAATAGGGATCAGTTCTTGCTTCAGATCTGCATGAACTCTAGCAGCTAAGGTCATATCTACATTGCAAAATTACTTCAGTATAAGTAGGTTGTTCAGTGGTAAATAAATGACAAAACTATACAAAACTCAGGAGCAAAATATATCCTCAAGTGTTGAAATGTAATTGCATTTGAAGCCAGGGAACAACAGGTAGCATAGTCAGAAATTTCTAGACAGGAGATCAGTTGGGGTAGTTTATGGTCTGCAATAAACAAAACACTGAGGCTATGTCTACATTGGCAAGATTTTGCGGAAATACTTTTAATGCAAGAGTTTTTGCGTTCAAGTATTTGCGCAAGAGAGCATCTACACTGGCATGGATGCTTTTGCGCAAAAGCACATGCCAGTGTAGATGCTCTCTTGCGCAAATACTTGAACGCAAAAACTCTTGCATTAAAAGTATTTCCGCAAAATCTTGCCAATGTAGACATAGCCTCAGTGTTTTGTTTATTGCAGACCATAAACTACCCCAACTGATCTCCTGTCTAGAAATTTCTGACTATGCTACCTGTTGTTCCCTGGCTTCAAATGCAATTACATTTCAACACTTGAGGATATATTTTGCTCCTGAGTTTTGTATAGTTTTGTCATTTATTTACCACTGAACAACCTACTTATACTGAAGTAATTTTGCAATGTAGATATGACCTTAGCTGCTAGAGTTCATGCAGATCTGAAGCAAGAACTGATCCCTATTGGTTTGCTGAATGTTTCTGACAAATAGCAAAGAGGAAAAGAGGAAAAAGAGCCAACCTGGCTCTTACTACATTTAAAATGCAGAGCCACAGCGGAGGAAGCTCCCAAACCGGTCCAATCAGGACTGAGAGCCTTCCCTTATCGACTAATCATGTAGTTAATACAAATTGTATTGACTACATGATTAGCCAAATTACCCGCCACTTAACATCCTTAGTGCATATATGTAATATAGTTAATCTTGTATTATTTTTAATTTGCCAGACTGTTTCTTTTTTTCTGCTTGGTGTAAGTTATACTGGGTATGACTGTTTTAGGCACCATCAGGACAAGGGGTGGAGCTAAATTGAGAGTGTAAAGCAGAACTACTTGGCCCATGGCCCATTTGTGGCCCGCGGTGCTGTTTGGGTTTATGTAGGGCTCAACACGTGGCCCATGGGTGGGATTCTTTGAACATGGCCTCCACTGGAACACGCTCCCCAACAGCGAGGCATCTCCCAGGTGGGATGAGCACTGAAAGACACAAGCGGATGGGCTGGCTGGAACAGAGGGGTACAGGGTGTTGACGTTGCATATATTTGCATGCATATGCAACCATACTTAAGTTGCAGCCCTCAGCGCGTGCTGTGAATATCATTGTGTCCCCCGGGGCTTCCAAAGTTGAGTAGCCCTGGTGTAGAGTATGATGCAGGGAGGTACTGGTGACTGTTATGATCACAAACCTTTTTGAGAATGGACGTGAATGCTCACTTCAATTATCAGAACTGTCAGAATTAGTTAATCAGAAGCCACTCACTGAAGACTAAAGGAGATAATGAACCTAGTCAAGAGTTCAGACTGCGTGACAGTTTGTGTGCGCATAGGTGGGCAGCATGCACAGGAACAGACAGAAAAGAGAGAGTCACTGAGCTAGAAAGCACAGTCTGACCCTGGTAAAAGCTAGAGAGATTTGAGTTTGGTATTGGCTAAGGAGGCTTGGGAAGCTAATCTAGGAAATTTCTTTTTTGGTTCTTGCTTCCTCCTCTGCATTCAGAGAAACAGGACTTTGTGCATTATTTGTAAACAAACAAGACCGAATCAAAGAAAATACCAGACTCGAGCCATTTCTACTTCCCACAGACCATCCAGGGTCCTGAGCTTTGACTACCTGGCTCACATCAAAAACAGGGAATAAGAAGAAGACAGTAGAAACACAGTGGAAAAAATACATACAATCAGAAATCTATTGAAATTTAAAGGAATGCAAAAAAAGAAAAAGAAAAGAAAAGGAAAAGGGTGAAATCTTGGCTCTACTGAAGTCACTGTGGGTATGTCTACACTGTATTCCTCTTTCGAGAGAGGAAAGCAAATGCAGCCAAGCGAAATTGCAAATGAAGCGCGGATTTGAATTTCCCGCGCTTCATTTGCATAATCGCGTCCGGCTGCTATTTCGAAATACCCTATTTTGAGATAAAAAACGCTGTGTAGATGCAGTTATTTTGAAGGAAACCCCTTCCTTTGAAATAACCCTTACTTAAGGGTTATTTCAAAAGAAGGAGTTTAGGGTTATTTCAAAAGAAGGGGTTTCTTTCAAAATAACCGCATCTACACAGCGTTTTTTATCTCAAAATAGGGTATTTCGAAATAGCAGCCGGACGCGATTATGCAAATGAAGCGCGGGAAATTCAAATCCGCGCTTCATTTGCAATTTCGCTCAGCTGCATTTGCATTCCTCTCTCAAAAGAGGAATGCAGTGTAGACATACCCTGACAGACCAGTAGAGCCAAGATTTCATTCATACATTTGAAAAAGAAAGGGGCAGGGGGAGACAATAAAGAAGAAAAGAAAATATAAATGGATGCTTATAGCACTCCTATTCAGTTATGACCACTCTTATATTTTTGGTGCACATAAATTTGATTTAAAAGTAAGTATGTCATCCATATTCTATAAGATCATTATTCTATTGACATAACAGCTCCTTACAAAAAAAACCTCTTTCTTTATGACTTCAATCTTTTAATGTTTGTACTTTTGAATTCCATGATTTATATAGTAACTTTTCTCTCATAATACCACCAATGCAGAATATTTATTAGTGTGATTAGAAGTTTCTTTGCTAACAACATTGAAAATTAAGCCTACTGTAGAACTCAGAATGCACCAAATAGTACAGCGTTATAAATTTTTGTACTTACCAACCAGCTACAGAGCTGTCACATAAACTAAGCAAACATTCTGAATCTTCAAGGCTCTCTTGCCTTACAGGAACCATTCTTTGGCTTAAAGTACACTTGAAATGATCTAACAAACATTAAGCAGAGAACTGCTAGAAACATCTCAATTATTGCTGAGTATAAGCACTGCTCAATTAATTTTTACAGGCTCTTTGCTAGCTATATCCAAGCGGTGCCCCCAAGTATTCTGAATAAATCTTGGATATTACCTTTATGAAAATGACGACCATGAATACATCACATCTGTCAGGTGGCAAAATGCTAGAG